AACACATTTAAATTTTTTGTAAACTGCGTTGTTAAGGCACAGAGACTCTCGTGTGGATGTCTGGACGGGTCTATAATTGTCTGCCAATCAGAGCTGTTTTGGATTAAAAATAAGTGTATCCCGCTATGAGTGTTATTTATTTAAATGCAGCACTGATTAACATATTCTCTCAAAATCATTTATATACCGAACTTACAACATTTCATGGCAATCAAAAATTAAAAATTTTGTTTCAGGACTCGCGTATAATCTATGCTTCGTTTACTTTATGGAAATACATTAATGAATTATCTCCGAAGTTCCGAAACACCTGCTCATGTGTAATTTCGATGTATTATGAATTAAAATATCATCATTTAATCAGTTAGTAACATTATATAATGCAGCACACTACATGATCAACCTAATGCTACTACTGTGACATATGCCAGGTGCTTGATTTCCCCGGTGATAATAGCTGTAAACGGCTTTGGGTTTACCGATTGGACGTTGGTAGTTGTAGAGGAATATTTTAGATGAAGCACAGATCTGTTTGTGATACATTCCAAAGAGATAAAATATACACAGACCAGCAGGCGACATTTTGCCTAGGATTGTATTCGGAAATTGCCTCGCGGAAAAGTATGAGTGTTTATCTCGCTGTTTGAATATTCCAGGGTAATAACCATGGGACATTCGACCTGTAGAATGTAGCTAATAGAAGTATCAGCCAATAAAAATGGTCCAGATTATAATGATCGTAACATGGACATACATTTCCCCTCCTAAGTCTAAGAACCTGTAGGGACGTCGCGGTAAAACTCCACGTAACACGACGACCGTCTTCGGACTGACCTCCCTGAAAACCTCAAATCCCACTCCATGTATTATCTTCGGTAATGAACAGGAGTGAGCCCCAGTATCAATTGCCTGGATGGTAATTTGAGATATTCTTGCTTCATCCATCGCCCTGATGAAGGAAGCACCAAGCGTCTCTGAAACGTCGTTGAACTTCTACCATGGAACACGGCGCAACATCCAGGAACACTTAATCACATTCAAGTCTGATCGTTTCTATGTGACTGTCTGTCCGCATGTTTCAATTCGAGATCCGCTGTACGAATTTTTATGAAATTTGGTATCATTGTAGGTGAAAAAAAAAATCGAATTGTTTAATCTCCAGAACTCCAAAATAATAAAATTACCAAACCAACGAACAGAACAACGAACAATTGTTATGGCGTATCCCTCGCAGGTCCAAATATTCTCGTAATTATTGTAAATGATGATAACAATATAATCATTTTTTATCTTTTCCGAATCGGGACTGATTATTAAAACAAAATAAAAGTCACCTACTTTATATGGACATCGGTCTTGAAATATTAAAGTTACGCACACAATTTTAAATATCGACAATGTAAAATTGTTTACATATTTCTTTCTGATTTCT